ATATATATATATATATATATTCAAAATTGTGTGATTTGGCTGCCCAAGCAAATTAATTTTCAATATAAATTAATTTAAGAGTGAAGCTTAAAATATATTTGAAGTGAAATAAAAATAAATTTTTAAGATCATGAAGAACACTTACACATGTCATTTATCCAATAATTTAAATATTTTTTTTGAACTTCAAATTATGCATCATTTTGATAATCCTATTTATGTTTAGAGAAATTTACATACACATCACATAATTCTTATATATTTACAAATCTCACACCAAAAAATTATAAATTGGCGTCATAAATCTACACTTGAAAGTTGAGTTAGATGTGTAAATACATAAAATAACTGTCGTATGAATGTAAATGCCCCCTAAATTAAAATTCATATGTTATTCATAAGAAATACTAAATATCTCCTTCTAAAGACGAATATTTGCGTACATAAAATGTACGCAGCGATGCGTACGTAATGGGATATTTAGGAGGTACATGGGGGTTGTATCCGGTTTATACCCCCTGTAACCTCCATGTAACTCCCTTGTAACCTCTGTGTAACTTATTTGTACCCATGAAATTACAGAAGCGCAAAACTCATTTGTAGGTTACAGATAATTTACAAAGAGGTTACAGGGGTTACAGTGAGGTATAACCCCGATATAACCCCCATATACCCCCTGATTAACCCCTGGACGTACGCAACACTGTGTACGTCTTATATACGCAAATATTTTCCTCTTCTAAAGCCCCAAATTACAATTGAAGACATGTAAATATATAATATAATATATAGCTATATATATGTTTCATTATCTAGAAGCAATGGTTGGTTTTGAGTGCTTTCCTAAAACTCTTCTTCCTCCTAAGTTAATTGATAATTGGAGATCTGTGGGCGCCATGTGAAATATGAGTGCCAAAGAGCGCGAGAAAGGGATGGAGAGAGAGAGACTGAGAAGGAAAGAAAGAGAGGAGTTTGCAAAGATAAGCTTTGTTTTTCCCCTCCCAATGGCCAAAGCAAGCCCACGCGTTCCTGTGCTATCTTTGGCTGGAGGTAGGGGTCCTCTTCTTCTTCTTCTTCCTAGAGAGGTAAAGGAGGCGTTTTGACAACTCATTCATCTCCTTTGCTCACTCTGCGAGAAGATAGAAGAAGGAGATGGCCATGGCGATGGCTTCTGGGGTTTGCGCTTCGTTAAAGGCGGCGGAGAAGGGTTTCTCAGGCAGCAGAAATTGTGCTTCGTTTGGGCGTTTTCGCTCTGTTGTTAGGGTTCTGAGTACTAAAGGAAGGTATTTGATCTTTTTTTAGTGATTATGTGATTTCTTTTTGTGTTATGGATTACTTGCGCTTTAGGTGTTTGTGGATTTGACTAGCTGACAATGCATCATATTTCTGAAATTTGATGTTGTTGGAATTTGTATGAGAGTTTTTCCCCTAAATTTTTTATAAAGATATTTGAATTTTTTTCCCCAAATGTTTTGATTCAGGACTTATTTTCTGGGATTGTTAGGCGGTGTTTGACTGCAACTTAGATTTACCTTTAGCAGGATTTGATCAAATCCAATAAATCAGGATTTATCTTGGAGTTCGCCTCTCAATCAGATTTAATAAATCAGTCTCTCAATCTGATTTACATCAGGAAAGAGATGGAACGTGAGGAAAAACAAACAGAACATGAGAAATTTTGATTTAATGGAGTGTTGGATTTAGTGTTCAGTTTTTCGGTGTTTGGTTGGATTCAAGCTAGAAATCCATCGCTAAATCCTATTAATAGTATGCTACCAAACAACGCCTTCATGAAAAGGAATGAATAACAAGTTGAAAATTTCAAACAAGTGGTTACAGATTCTTAGATACTCACAAATCATTTGGATTTCATTTCACTTTCTTTAGTTCTCCGTAATCCAATATGTGTTTGCTTATTAGTGTTAAGAATCAATCTGTTTGCTTGAATATATATAAATGAGATGGAGTGGAGGTGTGCAGATTTTGAAAGGTTCATTTCAATCAAATTTTGATGAGGATATTCCAAGCAAAATTTTCTTTTTGTGGTCAATTATATACAGACCACCCGAAACTGGCTATTTACAAAACAACCTCCCTCTATCATCCATTTTTCAAATTCTCACTCAAATATTAAAAACATGGCAAAGCCCAAAACTATTTTTTTCATTTTTATCAAATTCTCAATAGCTTGATTGTGGCACGCGTAGATACACCATTTCAATAGTTTAAAAAAAAAATTGTAAATATCAATGTTTCGGGTGGTCTCTTTCTTTTTCTTGGTCTAATAGATGGCACACTTGCATTTACATGTGTAGCGCACAATTCTTATGTATTTGCGTATCTCACACCTAAATGTTCATATTTACACATAGCACTAGAATCTTTAATATCATGTCAAAAATAGCACTATTATCTCTTTTTAACAGTGAAATGCAGCTTTTATCCATAGGGTTAAAACTTAAAACACCGAAGTGCTAATTATGTAAATTTGACAGTTATGTAAATACATAAGAATTGTGTGCTACTATGTAAATGTCCCTCATATTGTCTTCTATAAACTGAAAGAATGTGATTTTATCCAGTTTGTATGCATTTCTTATAGCTCTTTGTGATAATTTGATACTGAATCAGCTCTTGTTGATTTGTAGATTATCTTTTGTAGCTGTCAACATTCCAAAAGCTGTATCTCCAACTGCTGTAGAGGTAAACTGGCACCATTGCTTAAGCTCAGTTGTGGAATTAGAGAAAGGTTGTGGTGGCTTTGGCCCTATTAGATTTGCAAAAATACCTTTTTAGCAGGGTCAGGCAAACTTCTTACATTAAATACCATTTTTCTAAATGTTTTAATTAATTTTTGGGGGCATTTACATACATATCACCCCAATTCCTATGTATTTACATATCTATCACCTAAAATTTTTGTTTTTACATTTCTTCTGCCTCAATTTTTCATATTAGATAAAAAAATACCGCTATTTTAATTTTTAGAAAGTGAAATATACTTTCTCATGCATAATTATGGCGGCATATATGTAAAAAATAGAAGTTTTGGTGTTAGATATGTAAATACAAAGGAATTGAATGGTATGTATGTAAATTACTACATCTTACTTCTATTTTTTTATTTAGTATTGACCATGAGGATTCATTAAGAATTACTTATTTATTGGTAATTGCTTATTTATTTTATAAGAGGAGGCAATTACCCACCCCGGAGTTTTCCTTATTCCTCCCTTCCTATTCAACTAAGGATAATATAAAATTTGAGAAAAATGTCAAAATGGTCTCCCAACTCTTCGCAATTTGTTGTTCTAGTCTCAGAGTTTATAAAAATATCAATTTAGTCCCCAGACTCTTCTATTATGGGTTGAAATAGTCCCCAAACACTTCTAATCCTCCATTAAAACAGTCCAGGAACTAATTCAACAGTTTTATAAGCTAAAATGATCATATGCAAATAGTTATAGGACTATTTTGGCATTTTTATGAAATTTTGTCTAACATTCTCTTGTATATTTTAGAAATTTGACCCCAACAATTTGCACCATTACTTAGATTTGAGAAAGCACATGAGGTTATGTGTAATATGGAGAATTACCTTGAGCTCTCCTGCAATTATGTATATTGTAGAAGCTTCTACTCCACACACAGCCTGAGTTTAGTTCTACTACTGTTTAAACCCTCTAATTTGTTGGAATTACAGTTTTTTTCTGTTTATCTTTAACAGGAAGGAAGTTGGAGAGGAACTGATTCGGTTCCTACTCCAAAAGTTATAATAGATCTGGACTCAGACCCGGATTCAACCATTGTTGAGATTACTTTCGGTGATCGCCTCGGTGCTCTTATTGATACTGTATAACTTCTTTTGTTTCTAAAAACATATTTGCTTAGGGTGTTCTTTACATGTTTTTATTTTTTGTGGTATTTACATGCATACCACACAATTCTTATGCAT